CCCTGTTCGGAGCTTGTACCCTGATAATTGCAACGAAAGCGGCAATCAGCTTGCTAATTCTGCGGAGCTCTTTTCAGTTCTAATTAACATTATTCATTTCTTGTGTGTCCTGCTGGGTTGAGACAATCTGTGTTCTCCAGCCCAGCCCTCTGGAACACCAGCAATTTGCATAAGAGGCAACAAAAAAGTGTTGTGTGCCAATTACTGCACTTCAGTAATTAAAAACCTCCTTCCCCCCACTGCTAGGCCACCTCCTCTCCTCTTTTTTTTCTGTGCGCAAGCTAGAGAAAGCCAAGAGGGAAATTCGAGAGGGACATGCCACTGGTGGCATCTGCGGTCTAGATGCAGGGAGGTGCCAGGGTCTGTCAGAAACCTGGACGGGGTCTGTGGTCGGGGCTCCCAGGCTCTGAGCCCTGTCATTTATTTGGAGTTGAGCAGCCAGTCCGAATGGATGTGTTTGTCTGCAGAGGGTAGTTAACAGAACCGTGAAGCTGTGGCTTTGAGAGATGCTAACGTGCCTGGAAAGGAGTAGTATCGCCTCGCTACGGTCTCCGCTTGGCACCCAACCGTGTGCCGTCACCCAGGGAGTTTGGAGGGAGGACACCCCACTGCCCAGCAGGGCAAGTCACCGGGTGTCGTGACGGGCCGGCGGGTACACGCATGTGGCTTTCGCCTCTCCGTCGACGCACGTGGCTGTTTTAAAACACCTTAGCTCGTGTAACTTAGCTCGCGGTCCTTTCATAGTGCTCTCCGCGGGTGCTGTGCAGCCCCAGGAGCTGCGTGTCTCAGCAGGCCGTTGCCATGTTGGCCTTGGATGGTGCAACCGTGGTGTGTTCTGAGGGGGAACCGTGAGGCTTGGGACTCTGGATTTGGAGGGAAAGAAGCAACAGGGAGAGAGAGAAGGAAAGCTTCTCCTCCTTATGCTGAGAGATGGCAGCTTTTCATCTTCCTGGAGAAGGCCTTGCCCTCGGAGCTGGCTGTAACAAGGATTAAGGATCTTGAGAGAGAAAATTACCTCATCTGTGCTTAATTATTTTTACATCTTCTTTTCTGAGGCAAGTGCTGTTTTCCGGCACCCCAGGGACCTCTCTCTTCCCTCCCTCCCTGGCACATCACGAGGAGAAAGAGGGAGGCTTCAAAGCGGCACGCGAGTGAGCAAGGAGGAAGCGTCTTTGGGTTGCGCGGTGCCAGGAGAGGGGCGGAAAGGGAAGGTTTCCAGGCTTGGCGGTGGGTTTGTTCTCCACCTGCGTTTGGAGCGGGACCTCCCTGGTGCAGCCAAAGGGTGGAGCATCTCCCTGCCTTTCCTCAGCTCCTTCGCGCCGCCTGCGTGCGGGAGAAGAGCCTTCCCCATCCGTGGACCTGGCTTTATGTTGATGGAAACAGGAGCGGTTGGAGGAGGGAAGAGGACCAGATGGAGGGGGTGGAGGACCATCGGGTTGCTCAGCTGCTCCGGGTGGTGGTGCCACGAGAGGGCAATGAGCCTGGGCTAAGGGGAGTCTCCAGCCTTTAGGGCTCTTCTCTTCCCACCCACCAGTTACTGCTTCGTTAGAGGAGGAGTTTTCTCATCTCGATGTCACCCGTGCCAGAGAGAGAAATAAAACCCGCTCCTGGTCAGCGATGTTGCGCTGTGACCTGCCGTCCCATGAACAGTCTGCAGTATCGGAAGGTCAAAGTGCATCCTTCCTAACAGCTCTCTGGGAGCTGTTTCAGAGGTTTATTATATGTATTGGCTCGGGAGCTTTAAGAGGAAGGAAAGGAAATAAAATAACAACTTTAAGCTTGCCGATCCCAGGGACAGAGAAACGTGTCTGGGTGATAAGAAGAGATTGTGACCAGGTGCTGTGAAGGGCGAAAGCACTTATTTCACTGTTGCCTCATGCGTTACCTGAGCCCCGTTGCTTTTCAAAAGCACTTAAATGCCCATATGATAGAGGGAATGCTTGGATTGCACACTGTCTGGCTCCATTATTATCCAGGGATCTCCAAGCTGATGCATTTCACACACACACTCACACACAAAAATAGTGTAGAGGAGGAGAGAGGAGATACATACTTTTAGTTCAGCCTGCTTACTGGTCTTGAGTGATAATCTCTGCAGAAGGGGTTGGTCCAAAAAATTCAAGCCACGTCTGGATTTTCATTACTCGGTTCTTCTCTGCAGTGTGGCTTTAGCGCTGAGGATGGACGCCCCTCTTTTTGTACAGAGCTGCTGCATGTTGCATTTGCAGGAGCCTTTCTGTTTGAACATGTTGTGGCGTGCAAAATAAAGTCAGGGACCGAATATCCACCTACGTTTTGTTTGAAACCCAAAGGTCGAAGCTACCGCTGTAGCAGAGAGAGGCAGAGTACATTATAAAAAAAAAAAAAATCCTTTGGGATGAAATCTCAAGTTTTGTTTAACTTGAGAAGGTAAGATCTCGGGTTTTGCTCAAGTTGTAATGCAACTGAGACCTCAGTGAGCAAGCAAGGACAGAGTTCTTGGTGTTCAGCCCGGGGTAAATCTATTGCTTTTTTATGTAGATAATAAAAACCTGCTCGCAGTGCATTTATTATTATCGTAATATCATTAGAGAAGAGTAATAAAATTCTTTAATTTATCTAATGTTTTCCTCATCAGAGAGGGAGGATGGACCAGTACATTGGGTTCTAGCCTAGAGAATCAACAGGGGAGTCCTGGGCCATAGACTACCTATCTCACCTTGGCAAATCACCTCGGTGGCCATTCCTCATCCCTAGCTCCAGATGTTACGTGTTTGGACTGAGCTAGTTGTCTAAGTTCCTTCTGTCCTCGGAGGGGCCAACGAGGCATCTCCGAAAAGAGACTCATTTATTCCTAAGAATGGGTCTGTGTCTTTGCTGGCAGAATTGAACAGACTTAACGCGATCTCAGATTTCTCTGCATCTCCCTCCCACCTCCGTAAAAGGGGAGTGGTAGCATCCCCCGCCTGCTCATGGAGATAACTGGGAGGTAAATACGTTGAATTGTGGGTTGTGTGGATTGTACGCGCTTTAATACAGTAAGTCTTCTGAAGCTCCTCTGAGAGCTCTTAGGAGAAGGAAAGCAGGGACCACATGCAGAGAGGTGGTGGCAGGACCAAGAGAAGAAGCCAGGAGTCTTGTTACTCTGGACTCTGCCTCACCTAGGGAGACTCTGCCTCACCTAGAGAGACTCCACGTTGAACAGGATTTATTGCCAGCATAGCTCACAGCCTGGAAGAGTTTGGATCTTGCAGTTTGTTCACTGTCTATTAAGTTTCACTTTACCCAAATTCCCTATAAAGCAGGATCGGTTCGTTTTGACGATGTGCTGCCTCCACGCGTTGGAAACGGCCCCATTCACAGCTTGCTTTGCAGCAGACCTCGTGTGTTCCCTGTGTAGCCTGGCAGCAGGCTCGGTGATAGCTGAAGAAGATAGTAGTAGACACAGAAAAGGAAGAAGCGAGCAACAGAGTAGATAGATGGACAGATGCAGGGAGAGAGGCTGTGGATAGCTGCATGAATTTTAGGGGGGACTTGAGGCATCTTGCAGGTTACTTTTATTATTATTACCTCACTCTGCAGCTCTGCCCAAGTATGCTTACCCTGAGAAAGGACACGATCCCTGAAGGACTCTGAGTGTCAAGATCACTCCCTGACAGCCCACGTGCTGGAGATGTATTCATCCTAGCCGAACCTCCACAGCTACTGTGGTCTGACATATATAGCCCATTAAGTCCCTTGCATTCAGCGAGGTTACCGTGCGAGACCTCTCAAAGGCTGATGCTCTCCTTTTCGGTGACTCAGAAGTTAATTTGCGTCCCCGGCACTGCACAAGTAATGAAGTAGATTGGCGAGAACATAAACAATGGATCTTAGGCTGAGCGGTTTTATGTAGGGACATTATCCTCCGTCACTGGCATCTAACAAAGCTCTGCGAAGTTATAACGGCTCCGTAATCCTGAACTTACTTGGAAAGAAGAAGCACGATTTCAACCAGCTTGGGGGCCTGCATGTTCCTACTGCCTAGGGAAGGATTTGGATAGCAGGCAGCCTCCAAACCCCTGTGCTCCAAACTCGTCTTGGAATGATTTGTGAAAAGGGAAGAGTCGAACGTTGGCTGAGGGGTGTGGGGACCCGAGGTTGTAGGGCTGGCCGAGACCTTCTGTCTCGAGCAAGACTAGCCCCTGCTATTGTGGACAGCAAAATAATCTCGTTCAGTAGCGTCTCTTAAAATTACTTCTGAGCTTGTGCCTTGTTGTCCTCCTAGGCGGTGGTGGTGGTGGGGGCCTCATTTTGTTAGTTAGGCTGGAATTAGGAGATGCCTAACTCCAAAGCATTGCTTAATAAGTGAAATGTTTATCTGAGAAGCTGGGGGGAGGCACAATAAGTGAAAGAGATGTAGCGGTGCAGATGATACGGAGGAGAGGAAGAACTGACAGAAGGAACAAATGGCTGAAAGCTGTAGATTTCTCTCTAGAGGTGTGTCAAAAGTGGCTTTCTCCGGAGATAAATTTTCTTCATTCCACTGTGAAGCAGAGAGTGAGCTGCTCTCCTCGTGTACTTTGCATTTCTTTGCCTAGCTGCAGGGATATGAAGGTCTGTGGAGAAAATGGAAAGTGACGTGTTTGGGGAGGAGACAGCAAGCTGTGTCCGCGCTAAAGAAGTGTGACTTGGTCTCAGAATGGAGGTTTTGGGTCAGTTCCGGTTGTCTCCAAGTTATGCAGCCCAAAGGAGCAAACGGGAATGGAAAGGCGAAAGGTCCTTCGGGGGGCTGGTAGTGGGTGACTCTGATCTCTCCAAGTCTAAAGTAATTGTGAAGCTCTTTGGAAAATCTCTTGAGCCACTAGTTTTGATGGACTTTGGTGCTTGAGCATGGCAGATAAAATGCTGACATTGCCCTCTTTGGAGAACCGCCACACTTGGTCTTGGAAACTGCTGCTTGCAGCAAAGCTAAAAATAGTGAAAATAGGGAGGTAGGGGCTGGGGAAGGGAAGGGAAGGGGACGGCAGAGCTACCAACAGCAGCGTGCTAACGAATCGCCTCTCCCCCTCTTCCGTAGAAAACAGAGTCACCCGAGTGCCCTGGCTGACCCGCAGCAGCATCCTCTATGCCGGCAATGACAAGTGGTGCTTGGACCCTCGGGTGGTGCTCTTGGCCAACACCAAAACCCAGTACAGCATCCAAATCCAAGATGTGGATGTGTACGACGAAGGCCCCTACACCTGCTCTGTGCAGACAGACAATCACCCGAAGACATCGCGTGTCCATCTCATCGTGCAAGGTAAGAGGAAGGGACGTGCAGGCAAACTGAGGGTTTCGAAGAGGAATTGGACTTGGTGCTGTGATTTTTGTTCCTCCCTTTTGCCCTGGTTTCCTGCCTCTGTTTTACCCATGATCCCAGTCTCCTCCATCTTCACCCTTGTGGTCCTGCAGCCTGTTGACTCTTGTTTGCCATTTCCCAAGCAGTCTAGCCCATACCTCTCCATCCCTTTGCCCTAACATGAGACTCCTTCTCTCCTCCCATTACTCCTACATCAAGCTTACTGCGTGCGAGCACGGGGTGTGATTTACAGGCTTGGAGAGTCCCAGTGAAGTTGGACAATGTCCAGGCGTTTGCAGAAGCAAATTTACCCAACTTTCTTGGAATGGTCCTGTCTCCTGAGATAACCGCTTATACCCACGTTGTTGGTTTTCTTTGTTGTAGTGTGATGTTTTTTGCTTTGCTGGAGGCGATGCTTGAAGTAAAATTCGTGCTGGGGGAAACAAGGACAGATTTGGGTACTTTGCGGGGGTGTGCGTATACCTAGCAACGATATGTGTTTGTGCGTTCAAACTGTGTGCCCACCCTTCTGCGCGAAGGAGAGAAGGCATGGGGATGGTGGGGCCTCTGCATCGGCCGAGCGCGCGCTCGCTGGCTCGTGAACGTGCGTCGCTGAGGCCCGACATCCGCGGGGCATGTACGTACGCTCTTCAGCGAGCGCTCACGAGTGCAAGCACACGCGGACTCTCAAGAGGGGCTGTACAAGTGCCGTCACACGCAACGGTCAAGCAGATGGACGTTCATGCAAGATAGCTTCCCGCGCTTGTGCTGCAGGACTGGGCGGGGATGTGCGCTGGGCAAGAGGGAGCCTGCCTGGTGGGACATATGGGGTCTGGTATGTTCCTAGTGGAGGCAGCCTGGGGGAGGATTAATGGAAAATATCTAATCCCTTGCTAGCAACTTTTTTTTCCCCTCCTCCTTCTGTGATTCGGCCAGCAGCCTCTTAGCATGACACACCATCTTGAGTATTGGAATTTCATCTCGGGCTAATTTTCGAATGCTGATGGGTGTATTGATTTGGAAACAAGCTGGGTTAAAAAGGCATTGGTCTTGTACACAGAGTCGGGTTGAGCTAATCCGCTGTCGATATGCCAGGCCTGCCGCCCCTTGGGGACCCTAAATTGCAGCCACATCTGCCCGGGCTCTCCAGCAAGCTCAAAGTGTTGTGTTAGACCTTGCCGAAACAGCAGAGCCTTCCCTCCCCCCCCACCCCCTGCCCTTCTCTTTCCTCTTAGAGCAATCAAGCAAACTAAACAGAGCCGGACTTTCTCCATCTCCATTAACTGTGGAGGAAAAGTGGATGCATTGCCATCCCAGGTCCTTGCTGTTTATCTTGCGATCTGTTATTACCTGCCTGAGTTTCTGAAGCTGAAGTCGATCGCCCGCAAGTTTTGAAGTCGCTATCAGGTGCCGACGTGATGCAGGACAATTTATATCGGCTCTGGTCTGATTCCGTTGCCAGGCTTCCTGACCCAAATTTCCCGTATCACCAGGCATCCAGGCCTATCCCTCCTGCGTCTTGCTGCAGCGTTAGGAAGGGTTGTTTGGATACTAGAGTAAGAGGTCATATCTTAATTCCTTATAGTGGCACGGTTAAGTACTGGAGGATTCAGCGATGGACTCAGCAGTAGAACATGCTGAATATCCTCTCGGCTGCCAATTGGAAATAATGGCTCTGCGGAGCGGGCCCCGTAATTTCAGGAGCTATTACTTGGCTCACACAGCCCTATCTCGGGTGGAAGGTGGCAATAGTTGAATGTGCAGCAGTGCTCTGGGAAAGGACATGAAAGAGAACATCGTGTCCAATTAAAAGAGAGGCTTGCCTTAATGACCCAGATAAAAATTTGGCTGAGGTGCCTGGATTAACACTTCTGCCTCGGAAAATGGGTCCAATAAATATGCAAACCAGTATAATCCTGTCCTAAAAGACAGTCAGCTTCTGAGAGATGGTGCTTACCCCTCCCTCCCTGATGAGCGGGAGCTCCGAGCACTGGATATTGTGTAGGCACCACATCCGGCATGCAGCTGAGGTGCAAGGTCCAGCCTGCCCTGGCAGCTCCCGTCTGAGCCAGCTTGCTCTCTGGAAGAGAGGCGAGGGGAGATATTCGTGATGGGAGTAGGGGCATGGGGGATCGACAGGGCTGCTGAAGGAAACAGAGCTGTGGAGGGAAGCAGCAAACAATAGAAGAGGGAAAGGGGTGGGCGAGGGAGCTTTCTCTAGGCTAAGAGGCCTGGGGATGCTCCCCCAAGGCAGTAGGGGAGAATCAGCTAAAAGTTGCAAGGAGCCCAAGGATGTCCACAATACAGTGAGGGAAGCGCAGCACATTTATTTCTGGATTGATTGTGTTGGTGGCTGAGATCTCGAAATAGGTGGGTAGAAGGCACCTCAAGAGCTAATTTAGCCTGTCTCCCTGCAATGAGGCAGAGACGTTGCTGGCAAACGTTTGTGAAAGCTATTCTTGAAAATCTTTAACAAAGCAGATTCTTCAATCTCCCTAGACGATCTATTCTACTGCTTCGCTAGCTTTATAATTAGAAAATGTATAGCTAATATCTAACTTAAACCTCCTTTGTTGCAAACGAAGTGGAGTTTTTCTCATCCTATCCCCAGCGGATATAGGGAACAATTGATCACTGTCCTCTTTATAACAGCCTTTTCCTTTTTGTAAGGTTGTTATCGTGTGCCCCCTCAGCCACCTTCTTTCTGAAACGGCACAAACCCAGTTTCTCCAACCTTTCCTCGTCGGTCAGGCTTTCAGAGGTCCCTTGTCAGTCTTGAAATCCTTCCATAGAAAGGCAGAAGGTGATTGCTGCTGATCCGGGAACAGCAGGTTTGCGCACCTCTCCTTCCTGCTGCCAATGAGCCTTTGTGCTAACGTGGGACCGAGGAGGCCGGGAGCGAGACAACAGACCGGTGGCGCTTGAATGCATCAAAGTTAAGACCTGCTAATTTGAGGGCTGTTTTAAATGGGGTCAGGTTTGGAGACGCTGACGGGAAGTTGATGCAAGCCAACCGTGTAGCTGCAAAAGATACAAGGAGGTTTGTTGCACCTGGATCACCCCGGAAAGAAAGCTCCCAAACACCCACTGCCTTTTTGTTACTAGACCTGAAATGAACTGTTTGGGAAGTGCCCACGTTATCTACAGCATCTGGAAGGTCTCTCCTACGTATCCCACTTGTTGATCACTGACTTCTTGCTAGGAGAAATTTCCGTAGGACCACACAAGCGCAATGAAGTAGCACTGCCCGCGTTTTCGGCAGTCGGCCTTGGACCCTGGGAGTACAGAGCGCTTCTGGGTGAAGACAGCTTCATCCCAGAGATACAAATCCAGGAAAGCCCCACTTGCAAAATGTAGGCTCTGAACTTACAGGGGAGGTAGAAAACCCAGGTTGAAGAAGGCGACTTCAGACAGGACCCGTTCGCTTTTGAGGAGCAACTGTTTCCCTTCCTTTTGGCTCCCGTTTCCCCACTCTGGATTTATTAACAAGCAAGTCCTGCTTCTTGCCCCTCCTGAATCTCCGCCGTGGCTCTCCGCTTCTCCCCCTTCCCTGCAGGACACTTAAGCTATTTGAATTTTGTGAGCGCCGCCGTTCTCCGGGTCACTAGGTTTAAAAGAGAGAGGGGAGGGAGGAGGAGGCCAGGAGGCCGGTGCCTGGAAAGCTCCATTTGTATTGATAATAAGCCGTCTCCAATGCGCGTCTGCAAAACCCTCCCACTGCCTTGTAAGATGCATTAAGGAAAGTTGCCCTTATCTCGGTGCTGGAAATGGGCTTGGGGAGGGAGGCATGGTGCCTGCCGGAGTTTAATCTCACTTAGACACACAAATTTGCATGATGGAAAATGGTGGAATTTTAGTGCTTAGAAAGGAAAAAAGAGAAAGAGAGAGGGAAAAAAAAAAAGGCAAGTGGGGGATATTAGCTCTTTCCCGTTTCTTTATCGGTTTCCGTGGCCCTGTCTGGCTCTTTGCTCTTGTCGCTGGAGCCACTCATCGCCCCTCCCCTCGTGTTTGGTGCAAATGAGTTTTCCCACTCCTTCGTGGGCCTCCGTCAATCTGCAAATCCCGGCCATTGTTTGAGAGTTAATTACCTGCTCGCTGGAGGCGCGGGTGCCGAGGGGAGACCCGGGCTCTGCCCCGGCGGCGCGCTGCGGCTGC